CTTTAAACCGGTTCTTCAGTCTGTAGAGAAAAAAAAAGCAGCTACAAATCATGTAGTTGCTGACTTTTAATATAAGGACATATTCCAGTCCAGGGATCCAGTGCAATCCTCATCCATGCCGGTTCTTCACCAGTCTTCAGGTCCCCGACGCTGGCATGTCTAGTGTGGGAAGTCGGCTGTGGCTCCTTGTGGCTTCACAGCCAGCCTCCCACTGCTTTGTGAGTGGTCCAGCAGCCTTTTGCAACCTGTGACGTGTCCCAAGAGGTTGCATGCAGAAAAAGGAGGGGAGACAACCTCTGGTGGAATTGCCTAGGTGATACCATTGGAAGAGGGTGCGGGTACCTGCCAAAACTAGGTACCCACTTCCCCCCTTCCCAAAAAAAATACAAAATAACCTCCAATATTGTAGGGGAAGGCGGGGGTGTTTGAAGCAGAACTTCCCATTTAGGGTGAAGTTTGACTTTAATTGTCACTGACCAAAAGTAAAAGGCAATAGGGTCATAGGAGACCTGCCAGAGTTCAATTTCAGAGCTGAAGTTAGGGTTTTTATAATAGCCCTGGTTTGGGGGCTTCAAAACAATGATCCATGAATAACTTTAATCCAAGTAACAGAGACAATGGACCACTATACACGATGGCTACCTTGCAAAATCTTGACTTCATGTGACACTGTAGAGCTACTTTTCCTTGCTCTTATGGACAACGTTTATTTCCATTTCTTATGGTGCTCATACTTTATATTTTAGATTTTGAATTCACTTCTCTGTACAGCTAATCACCTTTATTTGCTCCTTTGAGGCTGCTTTATTTTAACAGAAGAAAAGAAAATGAGAACAAAAGTGAAGTTGTTGCATATATAACCTAATCATAATTATTGTTTATACTTTTTTGTAGTTTGACAAATAAAACTTGATTGTTTGTTATTGGCAGTAACTCCACTTTTGCGCCTTTTTCTTTTTTCCATTTGTTTTCTTTTTCATGATACTATTCATCAATGATTGGGGACTCAAGGGATAATTGGCGCTAAACCACCAAGCCTATTTAAATGATCTTTTTAATGAATCAGCCCATTTATGTCCTCTTTTAGTATTCCTGTGCTTGCATTTTAGTTTTTTTTTTCTTTTTTTCAAGAAGTCACAGCTACAGTGTTATTAAACCCTCAGATTTTCAAGCACTTTCAGCAGCTGATTTAATCACTTACTGAGTATGGAGCTTCCTTATCTTTTATTCCTTGTTTATGTTCCAGTTTAAACTGGTGCCATGGCCACTGCCCCAGGTCTCCTGTTTCACAATGGCTCCTTTCTCTTGCAGCATGTAGACAGGTTGCCTACTGTGAAGTAGTTAGCCTTTTGCCACTGTTCCCGCTCTGAATCTGCAGGCTTTTTGGGTCCTACTCACTTGTCCTCTACTATATAAAAGGAATGGGGGTTCAGATCCCGGGAGTGTAGCCGCACTTAATCTGAGAGGGTTGAAAACCTTTGCCAAGCCTTGGGAAGAAGATGCCAAATGACTGGGACACTAGTGTTTTGGATACTGCCATAATGCACTCTGCCGTTAATGGACTTGCAACCTGTGCAGGTATGCTGGGGCAGTCACAGTTACGGTTAGGTTTAGTTAGGGAAAGGATTGTTTATTGCTTTTGAGCATTGTTGTATTGAAGTTCTTGTAGCAAAATCTTTGAAATGTTATTCCTGCCTGGTCTGAAGTTTTTGAAAGGGGTGTATGAAGGTAACCAGCACAGTACACATGACCTTCCAGTTTAGGTCAGTTAAAACACATTAGGTTATGAATGCAGCTCTTCAAGAGTTAACATAGTGCAGCAAGTTAAAACAAGTAGTTCCCAAGGGTAGTGGAATTCTAGTAACCAGTACAAGCAGCCGAGCACACATGCAAAGGTGGTGCCAATGGAATCCTCTAAGGAGAAGGAGACAACTGAAAACCTAAACCACACGAGAGAGCATTTACTAATGAGATAAGAAATGCAACCACAGAATTTGAAAGAAAGCCACACAGCAATGACAATAAAGGCTGGAGATTGTAACAGGTTATGCATTTTATTTGTTAGGGTTTAATATCACTTTAAAAACTGTGTGCAGCTGATGTTTGCTGGAGCCCATCCTAAATGGTCCATGTTATTTAAAAATATAGACGGTACATTGAAAAAAAAAAAACAGAATAAATCTAAAATGTACCAGCACATTATTATGGAAAGGATTTTTCTTGATTTGTATGTGCTTTGAGATACATAGGTGAACTTACACTTTAATACCTTATCTGCATAAAGCCAATTGTGTTGTGTATGCTTATGTCTTTGTGTCAGTAAAAACTGTTCCAGAGTGTAATCTGTGCCCAGAAACCAATTTAAATTCCTATAAACCCATCTAAACATATGCTGTTTTGGTTTATCACGTGAATAAAAGTAATCCAACTAACATTTTTATAGACTAAGCATTCAGAAATGCAGAAACTGGCACCATATTTACTATATATCAATCCATTGTCATAATATATATGTACCTTGATTGTTTGATGTTCTAAATATTGAAATTGTTTTTAATAAATATAATTTTCAAATGGGCCTGTTATCCATCACTTACATACAACAGCACATGACAGTGGACATATATTCTATAGACAATTGAGAGCTATTCTAAGAATAGGTGCTCTATTAGGCAAGCAAAGAATATTCACATCCACTTACCTTTCCTGCTGCTGCATTAGTTACATGGTCTCTGCTGCTGAATGTGCTTGGGGGAGAATAGTTCAGGGAGAGCTGACCAATCATCAGCTCTTTTTGAATAATAATTCAATCCTTAAACAGAGACCATGTGATCATTGCTCCAATATCAGTTACATGGCCCGCCACTGGAGATATCCTTGAGCATCATTGTTTTCAGGAAAGCACACAGCTGTAAGCAATCTTTATAAGTTTAATGGAGCATATAAGTAAACTTTTATTACAGGAAAGGTTCTTGATTGCTTTAGGAGCAGCTGCATACAGTTATTAAAGTGATATAAAATGCTCACAAGTAAAATGCATAGAGTGCTGCAGACTACAGCACCTACCATTGTTGCTGTATGCCTTTCCTTCCAATGCTGTGGTTGCTTTCTTTTCCCAATCAAAGAATGCTCTCTCATGTGGTTCAGGTTTTCACGTGTCATCTTCCCCTTACAAGGTTTTACTGGAGACACCTTTGCGCACAGGTCCCTGCTGCCACTATGTATACCTCCTCGTTCTCCTACCTAAGTCCAGAGAGCATAAAGCTGATCCCTTGACCCTCCCAACTTGACAGTGCAGCTTGAGCTTCCGCTGTCTTCAGTACAGTCTTGAATTGATGCTGGGAAGCAGCGGTTTGGGACCTGGAGCTAGCAGCAGTAAAAAGCAGAATTGTATTTATATTTGTATCCAAAGGTACAATTGAGGGACAAAAGTATTTACTGGAGATTGGTTTGCAGACTCCCTAAGATGCATTAGGGTAAAAAGTAGAGCCTTTATTGCTACTTTCAGTCTATGACCTACCAAGATCCCAATTTACCCATAACCATAGCAGGACAACTGTCTAGGATGGGAGCAGCAGAAGACAATTGACCTGGGGAGTTGCAAGAAACATACACCCATCCCTTTAACTTTACATTTTTAGCAACTTTTTTTAAAACTTTATTTGCCATGTAGCTGTCCAATCAACCAGTTGGCTGTGCAGGTTTAAGGTTTTATTTTTTTTTACAAAGCTTTACATTATCTACAAACACAAAAGCAGTATTTCTCAGTCACTGGCTGGCTGTTTATAGACCCTGGATTATAGGCTGCTACCTTCAGGTGTTAGGACACTAGAAAACCTTTTGGACAAGGCCCCCCCTTGAGTGTACCCCCTATAACCCTTCTTCACTCCATGAGACCCCAGTATTTTGCTAGTGTCCTGCAGGTGATGACCTCTTCTCTCTCTCTTATATAAACGTCTCTATGCTTAACTATTACTTATTTTCTTTGAATTCTTCAATCAACTCTTCACTGCCCTTTACTATAACAGTAGAAGCAGTGCATTCAGATTGGTGCAACCTCAGTAACACCTTGGGAATCGTACCCAGACATTGTGGCTCCAGATGCTAATGGTTCTAGATCCTGGTTGGGCGCTGACTTCAGCTCTTTTAATACCAAACTCTATTTCCCTGTAAACAAGTTAAATTGTAATGGTCTTCAAACTGAACCACTTACAGTCTTAGAGCAGTTTGCAGTATACATCACTGATCACAGTTTACTGAATGTGCTTGTTTTCTGTATTTACAAATTCAAGTATAAGTCCATCTTTATTGTCTATGATAAACCATGTCAAAAGTGTTTGCAAGGTTCATTTGTACTACCTCTACAGGTAAATGTACATTAAAGGCTGTTTTTTGTTTTTTCTTCAAATAAAAGAGGTTATAATTACCTGCTCTCTGCAATGATATTGCACAGCATGGTCCCTTATCTCCTCTTTGGCAGTATCCCACCAACATTGTTTGCTCCCACCTCCTCCGGGTGCCTCCACAGCAAGTGCACGTGCACTCCTGAACGCCCCCCCCGGCAGGAGTTTAACTGAGCCTATGGCTTCCAATGTCTGCTGTAAGGCTATTTTCACACTGATCTGTAGCAAAAACACGCTAAAGACACATTATTATATTATTATTATACAGTATTTATAAAGCGCCAATAGTTTGCTCAGCGCTGTACATTACAAAGGGGGACAGAACATGTGACAGAACAATAACAATACAATGCAAAACATGAGGGGATCGAGGGCCCTGCACTTTCGAGCTTACAATCTAGGAGATGTTCGTATTTGGTACATTTTTACTGAATTTGCAATGCATTCTAAACAGGACACGTGACTCAGGAACTGCATCAAGAACGCACCCTCATTCGTCCTATTTTTGCTGCATTTTCTATGCATTTCAATAGGGAGGTGTGTTTTTGATGCGTTTGTTTACCGCAGAAAACCTGCACCAAAAGTGCAGCAAGCAGAATCCTACTAAACTCAGCAGACCCTCAATGGATCAGTATGAGGAGTTCCATAGGATTACATGAGCACATGTTTTTCTTCTGCTTTTTTAACACAAATGTGGAAGAAAAATGGATCAGCATCCTAAAACCAGGAAGTGAGAGGGGCAGTGCTCCAACCGAAACAGTGCTGGAGCAGTGACAGGAGTCAGGTAAGTGTTCAGGGATGTGGTTGGGTAGGAAAATTATTGGGGTGTTTTTATATCTTAATGTAGAGGATACATTAACCTCCCTAGCGGAGTGTAGCTCGGGGTAAAGTTTCTGTACCAAAAGCAGTAACTCCGAGCTACACTCAGGAATACCATGCGGCGCTGCATAGGGAGTCCCTGCAGAGCTTACCTTGTCCTTCGCTCCCACGATGTGTCCCCTGCAGCGTCCCCGACCATCTCCTCCGGCTGATGCCGGCATCCGGCTTCTGTGTTTCGGTCCCTGTGATGTCGGGACGTACGGGCGCCGCCGGCGGCAGGAAATTTGAAATTTTTTTAAAAATGTCATTTTTTTTCAAAACTAATTTTACATAGTAAAACATTGCTCTTTCAAATAATTTCACATACATTTCCCTAGTGCTTTGTCCTGTCCCGTCTGCATTTTGACTGTTCTTTCTGCCTTGAAACTTAGAAAAGTCCTTGGCGTCCAAAAAGCGCCCCTTTAGGTCAAAAGCGGTTTTAGACCAGCTAGAGAACAGCGATAGTAAATCAGAACCACTTGCAGAATTGAGTGATAATGATTCGTGGAGAAATTCGTCATCAGACACTGAAAACAATTTTGCGACTTTGCTCAGTGATGAGCGAACTTGGCGCTATATTTCAAATTTCAGTGTTTTTGGTCTGATTATATTATTGAATTAAATTTATTATTATTATATTATTTTTGATGATTATTTATTAAATTATAATTTATGATTTTGTGTTTCAAATTTTATCATACCCGGGATGTTTAATAGACTCTTGTTCGGACAGATTTCAGTGAGTTATTCCTAAATATTACAGTCTACAATAAAAAATCTACATATTTCCATGCAAAATAATGGTACCGCTTTCAGCACCAAAAATCTGAAATAATCATACCGCCAGGGAGGTTAAATACAAAAAATGGACTTTTAAATTTATGCCTGTCATTAATGACAGTATTTTCTAACATACTTTTGTACATTGTTTTGCTTCAGTCTAGTATTAGAAAATCAGTGATTAAAGAGTCTCTAAAAATTAGAAAGAATGCATATTTTTTTCATATCTACATAAAGCATAGCGTTAAGCAGCCCATTTACTTACATAGCGCATACTCAGTGACTGAGCTGGAATACTCACATGCATTCTATTATATTAGCTTATTTAATAAGGCAAAGAGCAATTTCAGGGTGCAATAAATCAGAAATGTACCATGATTGTTCTGTCTGCTCTAAACAAGTTACAGGTGAGGTTTCTTGTTATGGGCTTCTGCTCTCTATACATCATTATTGTTCCTCTTGATTATAATGATGTGAAGTATCTGGGCGCATGGGCGCCTTTCCCTGCTGCTTTGTCTGACACATTTCAGCTTAACAAAAGCACAGCAAATTCTCCAGGAAAGATGCTTTATTAGATTTGGGAGACCACCATTTACAGAAAATAATACTGTAGTTCTTACTAAATTTGTCATCATTTTCCTCTTAATTACATTTGCTAACAAACCCCATATTTATCATACTATCTGCAGCTGTTACACAATATTTATGGATGCCATAGGTAAAGTGGATATTTTAGTTGTCAAAATGTCTATTTTTAGAGTTATTTCTTTATATAGAAAACATTGACCTGATCCTTTGTTGGAAGTCCAGCTGTTACCCTACATTCACACCTAAGCGTTTTCCGCAGTGTTTTGCGTTTTGCAGAAATGCAGTACAGTCCATTTAACATGATTTCCTATGGAACATGTTCACATCCTGTTTTCACCCGGTGCGTTTTTTGGAAAGGGTCAGGGAGTTTTTTTAACGCAAAAAGTTGTGTTTTTGTTTCTATAGACTTCAATGGAAACACTGCAGAAAAGCATGTAGTGCATTTTTGATGCATTTTTGATGCGTTTTTGCTGCATTTTTATGCGTGTTAAATCTGTCTAGCAACAAGAAAATTAAAAAAAAAGGCAAAATGCATCAAAAGCGCAGCAAAAACATGTCAAAAATGCAGGTGAAAAAAAAAAAAAACGCAAAACGCAATGCAGAAATGGCTCATACGCAACCTGCATAGTTGTGAACCTAGCCTTAGTGTTTTAGGACCACCATCCTACATTCCTCATTTTTAGGTGACTAGAATTGCAAGTGCTCAGTTGGTATCTGACCTTCAAAGATCCATGAACTCTGATTACTGGTAGATGTAACAGCCCAGAACACCAGGCTATTATTTTAAACACCCCCTGGGCCTGCTAAATAAATTACAAAGGAAAAAAACACTTTCAGTCCTGTGTTGTCCCCCATAGTATCTCTTTTTCATGCGTCTTCCCTCTCAGCCCAGAAAACCCCCTGCATCACTTAACCCAGAAAACTGAAGAAAGATTGTAAATGCAGGGTGTCATGGCCTTGCTTCCAGGGCATGGCATCCTGCAATTACAATGTATTGATACAGAGGGCAATCATCATCCAGGACCACCATCTCTGGCAGAAGGCTGAAGAGAAAGTGGACCCCAGTGCATCATTATACTGGCCAGCTTTATAATTATGTAAAAAGATGTTTTTAAAATGTGCAAAAATAGTCCTTATTACTTTGTTCAGGCTTTTTAGCAATACTCTACAAGAACAGTCATAAGGAATTTACTATTTAGGAGAAAAGTCTAATTGAATTTTACCTTAGATTGTACGCCCCTTGAGGGTTAGGGACTGACGTGAATGTACAATGTATATGTAAAGCGCTGCGTAAATTGACGGAGCTATATAAGTACCTGGAATAAATAAATAAATAATTTTCATGACTTCATCTCTGTAATTCAAAAAATAACAGCATCTGCTTTGCCAAGGAGGAGGAGTAACAGCAGAGATTACATCATATCCTCTCCTCTCACCCTACAGTAAAAGGAAACTACAGTTCCCATCAACCACAGGGAATTGCAGTGAATGTTGGCACGCACACTAGGCCTGTACATGTTGAATGTGTCTGAGAGTCTCAGTCTGCCCACCGCTGCAAGTGAGCCTGAATGACATAACTCCTTCCTGGAGTAAGAACTACAGACCAGTGGCTGGGAGAATAGGAGGCATAGCAGCCACAGGTCTTACAAACAGGAAACCAAACAGAATGAACGGTTTGATTTGAAAATTAATAGGCTATTTCAGAACAGCTACTGTGAACCAGAAGATGGATGACATATTCAGTGAAGGTAGCAAATTAGCAACAAGGACATGTAAAGAAGTTTTTACTCAGAGTTCTGCTTTAAGAGAGAGCAGTACTGTTAGTTTTAGGGTTCATTCAGACTGGTTCTATTGGGTTGCATAGCTCAGCACAGGTCCAGTGCAATGAGAGGCTAAAATCAATTGTTTCCAATACATCACCCATGCGATTTGTTGGTGTGTGTTTTGTGAAAATGGAACATAGCCTTTCCACATAGCCCACTATGGTGCAATGAGTTATAGTGCACATTAAGGGAAAGAAAACAATATATTTTGGCTTCTGCTGTGAATAAAAAAACTGCACATCAATGCCGCACAAATAAAAAGTGCACATCAGCGCATCCCAGCATATTAAAAAAACACATCTGGGGAAGTCATCTGATGAAATGCATTGATCAGAAATTACATCATATGCAGGAGACACCCTGAATTACCAGTTTATGCCTGATAGAAAAAAGCTAATGCTTTTACTGTCTATGTGAGTATAATACTTTTTAAAGTATTACTAAACCCACAACCGTAAAATCAGTCTGTATATGCAGTAAAGCATGTTTGTTATACTCACTATGGAACCTGAGGGGTTAATCCTTTTTCATTCTGTAAAAAGGCTGTTTGATCCTGTCTTCTCTGATCCTCCCCTTCTTTTACTGTCCCAAAGCCATCTGCCATAGTACATAGCAGCAGTGACAAATCAGCACATGCTCTGTTTGGTGTGTATTGCTAGAGAGGTTTTTTTTTTGGAGGGTGCAAGCCATTAGCCTAGGGCCAACCAGCACTGTCTGAACAGAGGATCAGGGGTTATGTAGCCTCATAGGACAGTCGGAGGAGAATGAAAATTCCTCCTACAAGATTAATCAGTGCTCGGCCGGACACTTATAGAGGTCACAAGACTGCTATATACTGTTGATGAGAAAAGGTAGTTAGCAGTTTTATATTTACTAAATTAATTGCATTTCCATGTTCTGTGTACTGTGGGAGACCAGATATAGTGAATGCAGGGTAGTGACACTTTAATAAAGCTCATTTGGTTACAATATTACACAATGGGAACAATTTTGTTTTATATTCTGGTCCTATTCTGCAGCGTAGAGGAGGAACAACCTATAGAGAAGGAGGGGAGTAGAAAATTCTTGTTGCTCTTGACTTGGACTTGGAGCAGGAGCCCGGATGTCCTGTCAACCATATTTTTCTGCATAAAACATTTCATGACTTGCTTAGTAATAAGGAGACATGATTATTTGGTGAGCTTTTTATGTATCTATTGAGCACAGAACACGGAGTTGGAAGAGTTAGTTTGAAGTGTGGCACGGACTTGTGGGATTTTTGTCATTATTTAAGTCTTATGTGTGCAAATCGGATTTTGATTATTTTTCTGCATATAACAAATGTTTTCGCTGAGTGGCAACTATAACACACAGATCTATGCGGTGTGACACAGATATTTTCTGATCTTTATGTTTGATTTTTATAGTGCAAACTAAATTGAGATATTTATTAATATACAGGATTTATATTTCACTGTATATAACATATGTTTTCACTGTGGTAGAGTACCTGTGGGGTTTTTACCTTTATTCTTGTATTATTTGTAGAGGGCTGGTTCACATATAATTATATGTATAGAGCACCAAGCGGTATCTTTTCTTTTCCAGTTCCAGGGGGATGCTATTGGAGTTTGCCTAGAGTGGGGATTCTAATACTTATATTGAAAAAAACAGATGTCACCACATGACAACTCAACTGCATTAAACCCGCATCAGCACAAACTAAATGCAACAGACATGAATCAAGCCTTAGAGATGACAGCGGACTCAGTACAAGGAATGTAAAACATACAAGGCAAAGTAATGGAATCTTTCCACAGCATGCACATAGCTGCCTATAATTGCCATCCCTATGCTCCTCAATCACCCCATCCATTGTTAGAGCCCCCTCAAAATTACTGTACAAGTTTAAACTTTCTAAAAGTCATTTTTTTGCACAGGGCTGAGGAAGCTAGCCGTATCTTGTGACTTTTCTAAGGCCTAATGATTGGTGGCTTACATCCTGGTTATCAAAGAGGAAATGTCTCATGTGACACATACCTGGAAATACTCAGGCATGAGAGTTGTGTTAATAGAAAACACTTTAACCCCCATCACTGCAAAATTGGACCAGAAATGGTGTACAATGGACTCCACTGGAGATGAGTAGCTGGTGCAGCGCTCCTTAGATAGGGGAATCCTGTGACAACTACAAAAAGAACACACAGTAGGGCGCAAACACCTAGTGCATTACCAGCAATTTATTCTTCATCAAAGCAACACAAATGCCAAATGGATACTCACAAATGTTGAAGATAAAAAGGTGTATAATGACATATAAAAATATAAGATGCCACAGTGTACAGAAATTGTGTACCAACATGCAGCTAACCGGGCTGGCAAGCTGATGCATTTCAGGGCATAACCTCATCCTCAGAGCTAAACCAAGGAAGGGAGTGCACCCCGGATTGTGTCAGATCACCAACCTGGAGGGGTGTATGTTGGTACACGATTTCCATACACTGTGGCAACTTATGGTTTTATACATCATTATTCACCTTTTTATTTTCAGCTTTTGTGAGTGTCCATTTGGCATTTGTGTTGTTTTGATGAAGAATAAATCGCTGGTAATGCACAAGTTTGTTTGTGACCTCCTGTGTGTTCTTTTTGTAAATGAACGTTATGTTGCTTCAGTGCCAATGAACGGGCTTCAGGAATGCAAGTACAAAGTAGGTTATGGTTTCCATTAAAATGGAACTAAGCTCTTGAAAATACTTACATCCAAATTTCAGTTACTGTCCATCCCTCGCCAGCCACTATCATCTTCTCCCTGGGCTACTTTTGGGTGCTGGTTTTTTTTGGCCTTTTAAATGGCTGGTGGGGAAGAATGCCATCCTGGGTACACTGACAGGAGGTAGTCATTCTGGCACAGCTGGAGTGTGCTCAGAAAGTATGCTGAGCTTTGCAGCTCAGTGTACATTCAACACAGCAGCCTGTTTCGATCAAGTTGCCCAGGCACCCTGGGGTGCTTTCAGGTTTCTTAAGGGGTGCATTGGCAAAAGGCCTAAAATTGCCCAAAAATCATGTACAAGTCAGCGGGATGATCAAGCCTGCCTTTTAGTTACAAAAGGCCCATTGTGCACCATTATAGCCTTCTAGCCACTAGCGTCCTAACAACCAATGCCAAGGAGGACATTGGACGCCTGCACAGCATCCTTGTTTTCTCCTCCCCTTCTACTCTGTGTCAGCACGGGGGTCAGATTAACTGAGTGAGAGAGAGAAATTGAGGGAGAAGAGAAACAACTGAATACTAGTCAGTACCAGTGTGCAAGGGTGTATTTGCTTTGGAAGAATAAATCAGGTCTAATGTTGTGTGTCCTACGTGCAGGGATATTGCTGCATTATGTAGATATATTCATTTGAATTTTTACATCTTAGAATGGGGTGCTGTGAGATTTTACATAATTTTAAAGTGTGCCTTGACTGAAAAAAAATTGAGAAACACTGCAGTAGAGGACTGCGAGCAGGCAAGTAAGTGTGTTTTATTGCAAAAGAAACATAGCATGTCTCCTCTGCAAGAAAAGTGTCAAGTACCTTGGTGGGAGGCTGAGTTGACAAGAGGGCTTCCCTTGCAGCTCTGGCCTGAGCACCCCTGAATGTGCTGACAGAG